TTGACTTTGCAAGCCACACTGAATTTCTCCTCTGTGTGAAGGGGACTGGGAGCGGGTGACCAGTAGCCCTCCAGAGGTGACCGGACTGCACACACACCCCAGTCTTGGTTGCCACTGGCTTACCTGGCTAGTGGTGATTGTAGGTGCAACTGAGACACAGCAGGTGAGTGGCACTTTGACCACCCTTTGCTCCAGGCAAGCAGGATGCTCTTCGGAGGAGCTGCTGCTTCATATATTTAGCCTGCAAGGTGGCATGGTCTCCGTAATTAAGTGTTGACGAACAAGTATGCCTTGTTCTTGCATGAATGAACTGCCCTAGGTGAGCCCAGCAACTCTGTTTCCCTGCAATACGTTGTCAAAAAGTGGCTGCAGTCGTCCGTGTAGGAACACTGCCCTCTAAAGGCATAATTATTTAAAGACCTAGAATCCCGTCGTTTCTGTTCCATCTATTGGAAAAGAGCCATTTATCCTCTTGAAATAAATATGATGATACGTCTTCCGCTTTGCACATGTTACACTTGTCCTGGGAATGAATCAATCAGGCCAGTGTGGAATTTTAAAATAGTCTTTAAAGTCTCTCTTACAATTTTTTTCTTTGCTGTTTGCTTACCTTTGGATCCCATGCCAGGAGCTCACAGCAACATGAGTTGGCCCAGGTTTATTCTCGTACCAGCTAAATGCCATGCTGTCCCAGAGATTCTGGGAGTTGTAATTCAGAAATAACTTCTCGAAGCTCTGATTTCATGCGTGTCGAGGAATAAGGAGCTCTGGCAATGGATTGTAAAATCAAAGAATCATAGAGTTGGAAGGGGCCTCTAAGGCCATCAAGTTCACCCCCCTGCTCAATGCAGGAATTTTTATTTATTTATGTATTTATGTATTTATGTATTTATTTATGTATTCATTCATTCATTCATTCATTCATTCATTCATTCATTCATTCATTCTATTTGTACTCCCCTGCCGCCAATCTGGTCAATACGACCACTCAAATCAAAGCAGATCTAACAGAGGGTGGTCCAAATTTCTGGAATGCCTCCAGTCCTGGAGCCCTCACCCCCTCCTGAGCTCATGGCTTCCATTGTCGTACTGCTCTAACCGTTAAGAAGTTTGCTCCTCATTTTCAGCCAAAAGCTGGCTTCCTGTAACTTGAGTACCTTTATGTTATGTATCCCTCATAAGGATATAAACATAAGGGTAACATTTTTTGGCATCCAAGGAGATGACAGTCCTCCAGACGTGCTGCTATCCAGAGCCATTGCTTGTCCACCTTAGTTTTTGCATGTTCATTTCCACCTTCATTTAAGCTTTCCAGAAATTCATTCTGGGCCTTCCATTGGCCCGCATAAGCTGCTCCACTAGAATCATTCCCTAGGTGGGGAATAGATTCTGGGCAACCATTGCTAACGAGACAGAACCAGAGAGCCAGGTTCATTTTCTCTTTCCAATTTGCTTGCGTATGACAGTGCAGGCACACACCTTTTTCCACCAAGGTCTTTTTGATGTAGAATGTCTTCCTTGATTTTTTCACCCCCAATAATGGTACTTTGATATGCAACACTTGGAGGCTGTTTTTAACGTTGCCCATTCAATCCCGGGATAATCAGTCTGGGAATAAAGTAGCACTTTGAGGTTTAGAAATGACAATGGAGAAAGCCATCTTTAGCAGCTGACTTTGCTGGAGTTTTATTAGCTTTCTTCCTGAATTGCTTATTAATGATGCCGGCTTCCATAGCTGAAAGCGCACAATTAGCGAGGAAGCCAGATGGACGAGATTTAGCAGAGAAAGGGGTGGCTTTCATCAGTCGCTGGTACAAAGCTATTCCAGCCTCAGCTCACACAGGTGATTTTCTGCCTATTTTTCAGATGGCAAGTAATTTTGTTTTCCGCAATACAAGTGGATCACTTTTACAGAGTGAGAAGGGTTTGTATGGAAATCCCCACCACTATTTGCATAATCTCTTTGATCCGTGTGTGTGTGTGTTAATTTCACAATGAGAGAAATATATATTTCTCAAGATATACAGTGCCTGTCACACTCAAACATCAGACGCTGAAAGTCTGGCAGTTTGCCTTTCCCAAAAGACTTCAGCAGACAACAGGGATTTCCAGAGAGATGTTGTATGCAAAATACATTCCAGAAGTTCTCCTGACATGTTTTGAACACTTAGGAAAAGACACTGGTGTATCTTCTCAGAGATATTTCTTCAAGACTCTGAAATAATTTGATAAATACATATTTCTGTTGTGTTGTCATCCTACAAATATCTTTGTTGTTGTTGTTGTTGTTTTAGCCTGGACTAGTCACAGAGACTCCTTGTAGGGAAACTTTGTGAGGTCTCCGCTCCTGCATGAGAACAAGATCAGGGCTTTTTCTTGTCTGCAGCTGTATTAGCTTGTGAATTCTGAGAATTTTCTGCACCTAAAAGGTCTCAAAAGGCAAAAACTGCGGAAAAACTCTCATAATCTCACTAGGGAGGGATTTCACACAAAAGAAGTAAACATTTACATCTCTGTCCGGCCATCATTGCTGTTCAGTGGTTTGCATGTGCCCTGAAAGAAGCTCTGTTCCTGGACTAAACTTTGGAAACTTTGAAAACAAGGCACTGGTAGCTCCTGACCATAGGTAGGGGTGTGGCTCTCCCTGAAATGGCCCCTCTGTCCCAATTTAATTCATGAGCCACCATCATAGTTAGGCTTAAAGTGGGGGACGGGGTTTAGCCAAATCCCCTGTTTTCAGTTTGGCTGTGAAGGATTTTGGAGATGCTTAGACTGGCGGGAGCTTCTCTGTAGCTCAATGATACTGGAAGCATCTGTTTCCCCAATCCTAAAATGCCTCACTCTGAACACATTCTTGGGGGGGATAGTTGCCTGTGACCCCCAAAAGAAGGGGAGAATGCTTTTCATGAGTGGCACTTCAATTCTGGAAAGGCTTCCTCATTGTCATTTGCCTGCCGCCTAGATTACTGATGATTAACCGAAGTATAGTTTCCAGATCCTGCAAGGTGCTAGTTTCCCTCTATTCAGCACTTGTTAGGCCTCATCTTGAGTATTGTGTCCAGTTCTGGACACCACACTTCCAGAAGGATGCTGACAAATAGGAACAAGTTCAGAGGAGGGTGACCAGGAGGATCAGGGGGCTGGAAACCAAGCCCTAGGAGGAAACAGGGAAAGAATTGGGCAAGCTTAGCCTGAGATGAGGAGACTGAGAGGTGATGGAATAACACTTTTCAATGACTTGAAAGGTAGTCAAACAGGGGAGGGGCACGATGTCTTCTTAGTTATCTCCAAGCGCAGGACACACAACAATGAGCTCAAGTTACAGGAGACCAAATTTTGGTTAAATAGCAGGAAAAATGTCCTGACTGTTAAAATAGCACAACAGTGGAACCAAGGACTTTGAGAGGTATGAGTGCTCCAATGCTGGAGGCCTTCAAGAGAAATTTAGACCACCACCTGGCAGATATCCTTTGATTTGTATTCTTACTTGAGTAGGGGGGTAGACTCAATGGTCTCATAGGGCCCTTCTAACTTCACAAGTCTATGATTCTGGGGGTTAATCTGCTCTAGGTTTTAGTCAGAACTTTGGCAGAGCTATTCAAGATGTTGAACCCTATACAGCTTTTGCAGCTTGGAGAGCACCTGTAGAGGTTCAAATTAAAATCTGAAACAGATTCACAACCCTCATAAAACTGCAGTCAGGAGTTTTGACGGGTCATGATTTTATTTTATTTTACACTATTTTTCCTGTTAGGTGGAGACTTTCATATTCCGTCTGCCCTTTAAATCCTCTAGTTTTAAGCTTCTGCTAGTGCTTTCTATACCCTGTTGTCCTCTGTAGTTGTTTTCAATGTGGTTTTTATTATGTGGCTGCTTTTATCTGTTTCAGGGCTTACGTTGATGTTTTGTTGCTTAGATTTTTGTACGTTGTGGTTTCTACCTCTCTTTTGAGAACCAGCCAAAGCGCTGCTGGTTATTGGACAGTACAGTAAAGCAGCTGGTAAATAATGCCCATTTTTTGTAAGGCACTTTGTGCTTTTGTACCTCCCAGGAAAGGATTTTATCCCTCGGAATGAGAACAACTGAACAAGAAGCTAGCATTTTCAAACTTAGGGGGCAGCCTATAAAAAATGTCATTATCGTCTGCTAAGAAAGCACTTAGTTCATTTTCAGTGATCGGGAGCTTTGGGCAAATTGCATTGATAGTTCGAGCACATTACCAAAAAAATACAACAACATAAAGCCATATTGGTAACTAAGGCTCCTTTGGCAGATATTCACAGGGCGGTGCAAAGCAGCCGGAGTTTGGAGAGGGGAGCAAAATCTTGTGAGTATGGGATTTGTTCACACTCCTATGTTCGCTACATAGTCTTGATCCTGTTCCTCCCACTCCAGGTCAATGCGGGATCAAACTTGGTATAACCCCCTTACAAAATGCCTTCAACTCCATGGAGTAAAGAAGAAAATACAGACCTCCTGCCACTGTCCTGTTCAATAATTATATGCATGGAGCTCGAATTGCAAACACTGGCTTGGTGATCTCATGACATGCCAGTCGTATGTGGCAAAGTGCCCAGTTATACAATCTGGCCACACGATCAAGCACGAGACTGTGGGCCACCAGCACCTCCTCTGATCACGGTGTCTGCTGCTGCAGTTGGACCTCCTTGTGCAAAGCTGTTGGACAGGATAGTGTCCAATCCTTTTCATTCTTAAAGGCATAGGACTAAAGGCATGCTATTTCCATAGGAGGCATGCAAAGACAATGACAGCTCTCCATACCGGCAATATTTGGAAGGGTTTAAGTGTCACATAAGAACGTATGTGCCATTGTATTTTTTCTGTGTTGCCTCTGGACTTGGGTGGCATTGGGTTTGCTTTACTTTGCTCTGCTCAAGTCTCGCATACGTTTCCCTCTGGCTGCTTTCCTTCCTTCTTGTTTGCCTGTCTGTCTGACCACTGAAAGCCTTGTTCGTTGTTGTCGTTCTTTGTTGTTGTAGAGCAAGCATGAGGAGGATGTGGAATCTGGGGAAGATGCTGTGATCAACAAGCGGCCCAACCGATCGCTGATGGGAAGCTTTTCCAAGCGAAAGGTCATCTCTTTGTTCATCGTAGTGGGTGGGGAAGGGTTGCTTGGCTTTTCCCCGAGGCTTGTGGTGGATCGGACCTACTTGAGTGTCCCAAGCCCTAAATAGTTAGGATAGGACACAACCCAACTGGTAAGGGATCGCAGAGTCAGTACGAAGAAATACCGCTGCGGATACAATACAGCTTGGTAAAGTTTTGGCGTGTGCCTGTATATCTCTCCGTATCTGGATAGATAGACGTACTGTAAATCCATCTGTGGCTTATTTTTATTCTGGTTGTTTCTCTGTTTACACAGAAAAAAGGAAGCAAGCTTAAAAGGGCATCCAGTCTGGAAGAGGGTGAGGATGACCTTGCCTCTCAGGGGAACCTAGCCCGAGGCTCAGTACATTACAGCAAGTGAGTGGCGAAGCATGCTGGGAAATGTTCTCCCTTTGAAACAGATGAGTGTTCCTGCATATGTGTGTCTCCAACTTTGGTCTTCAAGGACCGGCTTCTTCTACAAGCCTAACCGGATGAGACAGTGATGGGGAGACCGAAGAAAACAAACAAAGTAGTTGTCAGCTTTGTGATTGCACACAGGCCTGTTCTTTAAAATGCAGAGAGGAGACAAAGTGAAATGAAAGGCTGAGGCAGGATTTACCTGAGCCGGAACCTGAAAAAGCATCATCATCATCATCATCATCAGACCGGCTTCTTCTACAAGCCTAACCGGATGAGACAGTGATGGGGAGACCGAAGAAAACAAACAAAGTAGTTGTCAGCTTTGTGATTGCACACAGGCCTGTTCTTTAAAATGCAGAGAGGAGACAAAGTGAAATGAAAGGCTGAGGCAGGATTTACCTGAGCCGGAACCTGAAAAAGCATCATCATCATCATCATCATCATCATCATCATCATCACATCATTCTTTGCACCTGATGTGCCTTTGATCACATCATGTACAAAATTCCCAAGTGAGCATGAACTACAAATCCCAGTATCCTTCGCTGACAATCTGGGCTGCAGCATTCTGGGAGTTTTAGTCCACAGAAATAAGTGTGCTGAAGCTCCGTAGCTGAGAAAAGGCCAGAGGGGAAGAGAAATCCAGGCTGGTCAGACTTCCAGCCACCCTCACCTTTCTTACTGCTCCCCACCTGGGCCTCCTGCCATACTTTTATTCTCTATCCCAGTTTGTCTCAAAATCTGTAGAATAAGAAAAACCTCACACACTCAGCTACGCTCTAGTTAAAGCAGACCTACTTACGAGAATGACAGTAGATAATCTGATGTGCAAAATTCCAACACCAGAAAATATTGGCATACATAATGGTAGGAATGGCTGATTCCTGTTCATATTCGGTATCTTGTAGGTGTTCGGCCCAATCTCCAGTTTGTCTCAAAATCTGTAGAATAAGAAAAACCTCACACACTCAGCTACGCTCTAGTTAAAGCAGACCTACTTACGAGAATGACAGTAGATAATCTGATGTGCAAAATTCCAACACCAGAAAATATTGGCATACATAATGGTAGGAATGGCTGATTCCTGTTCATATTCGGTATCTTGTAGGTGTTCGGCCCAATCTCCATTCTCCTTTTTGATTCTCTCTATTTCCTGTTCATATTCAGTATCTTGTAGGTGTTCGGCCCAATCTCCATTCTCCTTTTGGCCTGTAAAAGAAAAACAAACATGCATGTTCCCATTTATTTCTGAAGGCATTTTGTACACATATTTCCTTAATGTTTCTACTTCTATATGTAGATATTACTTTTTGTGTGCTGCTTCTCTCCCTTTTTTTTCCTTTTGATCAGGTGACCTTCCAGGTAGATGGTGGGAATGCTGTAGGCATAATATGGCTTCAGCAAAGCTTTTCACAAAGTGCCCCATAATATTCTGATTAGCAAGCTAACTAGGTGTGAGATGGATAAAACAACTATCAAGTAGATACACAGTTGGTTACAGAATCATAGTCAGAGAGTGCTTATCAGTGACTCCTTCTCAAGCTGGGAGGATGTAACAAGTGGGGCACCACAAGGCTCAGTCCTGGGGCTGGTGTTCTTCAGCATTTTTATTAATGACTTGGATGGGATGAGGGGCTCCAAGGAACGCTTATCAGATCGGGAGATGACACACAATTGGTTGGAATAGCTTATACTCTGGAAGACAGAAACAAAATTCAAAAAGATCTTGATAGGCTTGAACACTAGGCTAAAAACAACACTTTGAAATTTAATAGGGATACGTGAGAGGTTCTTACTTAGGAAAAAGAAACCAAATGCAGTTACAGGATGGAAGATCCTTGGCTCAGTAATACTACGATTGAGAAGGGTCTTGGAATTGCTGTAAATCACAAGCTGAATATCAGCCAACGGTGAAATGCAGCTGCAAAAAGGCAAATTTCTATAGCCATCTGTCAGATTTATTTGATTTGGATTCCTCAACTGAGCAAGGGGGTGGTACTAAGTGGCATTACAGGCTGCTTCCATCACTCTATGATTATCAGCTGAAACCTGCACTCCAAAGTTGGAAGAAGCATGCGATATGAAGAAAAATGTTGTTTCAATCCATATATTAGGCTAGAAAGTGTGGAATAGGTCGATTTGCTTAAAAATGAAAATTGAATGACATTTTCCTCTGCCCCTGCTTTACTGAATGGAACTATAAGGTGCTAAAGTTTAACTTGACTTGCTGGATTAACTTCGGAACTGACCTCCTGTATATATAGTTGCCAGGTCTCTATTCTAGTTCCATAGTCATGTCTTCTTTTCATCCTTTAAAGAGGGGGGGAATCCACCATCGACCGTTTTTCTTCTCCACGCACCTTCCTCTTTTCAAGGAAATATAAAAAATCTGGTTGATTTATCATATTCATCCTTGGGTTGGAATTGTTGCTCGTAATCCTATTTAGTCTCTCTCTTTTTTTTTGCAGAACAAATCGGCAGAAGAAAACCATGAAATTATCCCGGGCGCTGTCTGACCTTGTCAAATACACCAAATCTGTTGGGACCCACGATGTGGAATCTGAAAGTAGGTGGCCTGGTAAAAATTAACTGAGGAAAAAAAATGTGTGTGCCTTTGTTGGTTTGCAGCAAAATACTGTGCACATTCACTTTGGAGTAAATCTCCTTGAGTTCAGTGTGTGGCAGGTTTTACTCCTTACTAAATCAACTTTGCATGATAACCTTGGTCAAGAATCAGGACATTTTTATTGGCAGACCTGTAACTTGAGCTGAGTATTTTATGGCAGAGGCTTAGATCATTCTAATATGCATCTACCCAAAAGTAAGGTAATAGCTTTCAAAATTATTAAGCTTTCAAATAGCTTTCAAAATTACGAAGCTTTCAAAAAAAAATTCAATAGCTATTAAATTATATGCCAACAACCAACATTTAGAGCACTGCTTCCCAACCTTGGGTCCCCAGAGGTTCTTGGACTAAAACTCCCAGAAGCCTCCACCACCAGCTGTGCTGGCCAGGATTTCTGGGAGCTGTAGTCCAAGAACATCCAGGGACCTAAGGTTAGGAAGCACTGATTTAGAGGCCAAAATCCTGTTGGCTTTAACTTAGTAAAGCTGATGGTGTCATGAGCCGTGGCAATTTTTTTTGGCAATTGAACATTTTCAATTCCCTCAACTCCATGAAGGCACCCTTAGGATCCCTTTCATTGTAGAGAAGAATCCGGGGGCTCCGGGACAGGAGTTGGGGAGCCTTTAATTTCCAGAAATCACTGCCATCAGATTGATTTTAACCCAGTGAGCCTTTTAACATAAAAATACCATTTTATCAAGTTTTGCCAAGTAATAAGGGGTAAAGTGAGGGTCTTGTGCACTGCGTACAAGGTGTACCTTTCAACCCCTGTTTTAATTTCTCTCTCTCTCTCTCTCTCTCTTTCTTTTTTGGGGGGGGCTTGAGGAGTGTAAGATATTTTTATTCTCATAGGCTTTGGGTAACGGACTGGCTGCTTAGAAATGGCTGAGTCCTGTTCCCCCCCCCCCAATAGTTGGAAACTGAGCCTTTTAAAATGGATGTATCTTTAATTTGCATTTAGTTCACCTTCAATTTGTTTGTGCTTTCAAATCATAATCGTTAAATTGTGCTTTATCTCTTCTCACTTTTTAAATTTTCCATGAGCCACCTGTGGTTCCAATTTTGAAAGAAAAGGGAAAACAGAAGCAAACAGGCTCTGATTTCTAAAGCAGGAAGTATTTTTTTAACTGAGGAGAAGACACGCTTTTCTTTCTTGTTGTAGTCTCTTCCAGTTGGCAAGTTTCATCCTTCAGCGAAACGAAAGCCCATCAAATCCTCCAGCAAAAACCAGTCCAGTACCTGCGCTTCAACCAACACCAGCTATCGCGGATCTATCCTTCCTCCTATCGTGTGGATTCCAGCAATTACAACCCTCAGCCCTTCTGGAACGCTGGCTGCCAGCTGGGTAAGAAAGAATCTGGAAAGTCAGGTGGTGCATGGGTCCCCCATCAGGTCTGGATGGCAATTTTAGAGATTCATGATTTGGGCGGATTTGATCTGGAGTGATTTGTGGCTTCCTCGATTCAGACCAGGTCCCTGGGACTGGATTGATTCGCAAGCCTCCCGTTGACTGCCTTGGAAAACCAAAGCAACTACCACTGTTTGGTTTTACCATGATGTACCTGAAATTTTGGACGCATAACACACCCTAAAAAGACGACTAAAACTACAGATTTCAGAGAGCCACTAGGCATCTTTAAAGCTTGTTTTATAAAAAGAAAATGAAAGAGAGATGAAAAAACCTAAAGTAATTTGGGCCCCATCTAATTCAATTTGTGCCATGGTCAGAAATTGATTTGAAAATGCACCTCATCTTGTTCTAGATTCTATCTGTAATGTAGGATTTGTCCAAATCCAGTACACGCACCTTTTGGGAAATGATTTTTTTAGACAAAGCTAGTGAAATAGCAAATCCAAAGATTACTTTACGTCCAACATTTGGCTTGTTGTCATTGCTTCATAATGAAAACTCAGGATTGCTCCGTAAATCTCGCATAATCACATTTTGCTGATTAACTAGAATGGTAATTGCTTCACAGTGGAAAACGTTGTCCTTGGAACTTGGTATGCTAATGTTCGCTAAGCAGCACTCCGAGACGATGGCCACCTCGTGGCTGAGCAGCTGTGTTGCCTTAGACAAGGGATTACATGTCTTACTTTTATGAAATGTGGTACCTGTTTATCAGTTATGTAAACACAAACACTTCTGTGCTGTCTCTTCCAAATGCTGTGGACTTCTGGCAAAATTTGTTAAGTGCAGCAATTGACAATCTCTTTTAATCTCAATTTGATCACATCAATTCTAGCCTTGCCTTATGTTGCAATCGGTTTGCTTTTTATTGCATATATGCAACATTATTTGCATAATAAAGGTTTTCATCTTAAATTTTGCATTCCCTATCCCTCATCTTCAGGTCCCGAGGCTCCCAGCAATGTCTTTCAATCTGGGGGAGCTTTGTGAAGCCTTGGGATAGAAGGGGGTGGGAGGGTGGGCTTTAATGTCTGTAAATTACTGCGGTTGAAATCCTGTGGTTTAACCAGTCTTCCCTCTTACAATGGGATTTCCTCAGAGATCCTTGCACCAGACTTGTCAGTTAAGCTGCTGTTTCCCTCCCACTGACCAGTCATAAAACACAGCATGCTAAATGCAAGGTCCATTGGTGAGGAAAACCACAGTACTGTGACAAAATTCACCACTTGAGAGGACTTTTTAAAAATGACAAATATATTGTCTTATTTGTTCTCTGAGAGGGAACACTTGTCATTATGTGCTATCAAGTCAGAACTGATTTACAGCAACGCACTTGAGAGGACTTTTAAAAAACGACAAATATATTGTCTTATTTGTTCTCTGGGAGGGAACACTTGTCATTGTGTGCTAGAACTGATTTACAGCAGCCCTAATAGGTTGCTCAAGATCACTGAGATATTTAAGGAGTGGTTTTACCAGTTCCAATCCCCAGTGAGCTTCCGTGGCTGAGCAGGGATTCAAACCCGGGTCTCCGGCGTCCTACTCTATCATTCTATCCACTATACCACACTGGGTGTCTTACCCAAAGACCTTCCGAAAGATGGAGCTCAGATATGTAATGGGGTGGGTGGAAGAGGAAGATTTATCATCCTCCTCTTCCTCTCTTCTTTCTTCCCCTACATGCTTCTCCTATTTGCCACTGGTTCCGGACCCTCCACCTTAACCGACCAATCTTCCAAGTAATAGAACGGCCACTGCTCTTTTACGAATTTTGCAACTTTTTTTCCCTTGGGGTTCAGGAGATTGCAGCAGGTCACTGGACAGGCAGAAGGTAGTTAGTGGTGGTGGGAAATTGACCCTCTTCCCTTCTCTTTTTCCGGACATGTTTCCATCGACGGACTCACTTCTGTGCCTGAAAGTGAGTGAAGCAGCAAGGCACCCTAGCCGTTCACTTCAGGATGTTGTACAGGAGAATATACGTCTTTCTTTCAAAACCGTCCTCTCCCTTTCTTTCCAAATTTGTTTGTGCCTCGCTGTAGCATCTGGCACGGAGAATGCCATCCGTCATTCTGGCTTCCCGAGCTGGCTGTCTCTCACTGTGAGCTGGTAGACTGTGCTTCTGGAATGCCTCCTGTGATTGATCAGTTGCTGTTTCTTTTCTTTTTTTTCCATCCCTCCTCCTTCCTTGTTTTGTGCTTCTCCACCTTCCACGCCTTCCACGTCCCAGTCGAGGGATGCCTCCTGTGATTGATCATTTGCTGTTTCTTTTCTTTTTTCCGCCATCCCTCCTTCTTCCTTGTTTTGTGCTTCCCCACCTTCCACGCCTTCCACGTCCCAGTCGCCCTCAACTACCAGTCGGAGGGGCGGATGCTTCAGCTGAACCGCGCCAAGTTCAGCGCCAACGGCAACTGCGGCTACGTCCTCAAACCCAAGTGCATGTGTCAAGGTAAAGAAAGGGTCTCACTCTGCTTGTTGTGATGGGAGCCCCTGGTACTCCTTCATGATTCCATGCAGGGCCTCCAAGAAATCTCTTGGATTGCGAAGGGGAGACAGAATTCCCGCATCAAACAGAGAGGTAGGAATCCTGTAGAATGTGGATTGCAGAAGACGAGCAGCCAATGACCTAAGTCAAAATGTGCCCCTGTTTTGCCTTCAGCTCTGGCCGCTGCTGGAGTGACGTCTCCTAAGATCTTTGCTAAAAAAAAAAATAAAGTAACTTGTCCCTTAGTCTCCAATAAGTTTCCTCTCCTTGGAAAAGATAGGATTCGCCTGAGTGGGGTCTGATTCAATCTCATACTCATAGTTCATCCTTTGTTTTTGAAAATCACTCTCTGCCAGATTCAGTTTTACCATTTAGGGTGAAAAGATATGTCAAAGAAGGATGCAAAATAAATTGATTCCATAAATCGAGGTAAAATAAACAACTCCTCCTTGGATGGTTGACTAAAAGACCTTGATTTATTACCAAAAAAACACCACATGCTTCTCAACAAAATAAATCCACGGTGTGTCATGTTGTTGGAATTTTAAAAACTGATTTCAGATGTATTACACTCAGTTCAAAATTAGGTGTCTTCCCCCCCCACACACATATACACATCTAAACATCCTCTCAATCTCCCATGTCTATATTCACTGGTGCATCTATCCGAAGAAGGAGGGACTGCCACATATTGTATGCAGAAAGCTTTAAATCTTTCTGTTTGTTTTACTGTGAATTCTTCCCAGGGATCTTCAACCCCAACTCAGAAGATCCATTGCTCGGCCAGATGAAGAAGCAGCTGGTGTTAAGAATAATCAGCGGGCAGCAGCTTCCAAAACCTCGGGATTCCATGCTTGGGGACAGAGGCGAGGTAGGGAAGTGACGAGAGAAACCTGCTAGTTTGGAGCATCTGGGAGCTAAAATGCCCCCGAAGAAGTAACTTTTCCAAGAGGCGTAGAACAAATATGAACCCTGGTTTATGACCCTGCCTTGTTCAAGTTAGAGAAACAAGCCAGAGTTGAAGATTTTGACATCATGCTAAAGAAAATGAAAAGGAGAAACCAAACGAGGATGTTTTTTTTTTAATGTCGGCGCTGTAGGAGGGACCAGGCGTACTGGCTTGGTCACAGTAAATTAGGCTGTTTTGTTTTGTTTTTTAAAATCTGGATTACCATGACATCCAAAAACAGCTACCAAGCATCAGAAAGGGGAAAAAAAAGGGAGAGATTGTGTTTGTGAATGACAGTGTGTCTGAGATGATGGAGGGAGTCATTGTGTCTGTGTGTATGTGTGAGAGAGGGGATGTGCATGAGACTGTGTGTGCATGTGTGACAGAGAATGAGGCAGCGCCCCCTACTGGTCACATTTTCTTTCTTTAAAAGTGGTCTGTTTTTCAAACGATGCATAAATTCCTGTCCCTCAATTCCCCCCCCCCCCC